GCGTCTGCTAAATGACTAAATGTAAATGTAGTAATTGCAGTAAATAATTTTCCTACAAAAAATACTTCAGTAAGTTTAAATGAAGCATGATGTTTGAGGGTCCAAAGTGTTTAGGTTAGGGACTAATTTACTAAGAATATTGTGATCATCTGACTATATTAAAAAATATATATATTTTGTAAGAAATTCACACACACCATATGCAGTATATACTCACTGGCTACTTTTTTAGGCACATCTGTCCAACTGCTCATTAACGCAAATTTCTAATTAGCAAATCGCATGGCATGTAGGCATGTAGACATGGTCGAGATGATCTGTTGCTGTTCAAACCGAGCATTAGAATGGGGAAGAAAGGTGATTTAAGTGACTTTGAACATGGTATGGATGTAGGTGCCAGACTGGCTATATCTACTGGTATTTTTATGCACAACCATGTCAAGGATTTAAAGCCTGGCTTAATTTGTGCCGGAACATGCCAGATTCGGCACCTCTGAAATCAGATCCACCTCATTTTACCGATCCCCCTCCTCAATAGCCCTCCTCCCCGTCGGCTGTTCACTTTCTTCCATGACACCCCAACCCTCGTCACTTTTGTCTGTACCCATCTTCTAATGGCTACTTCCAGCAGAATAACGCCCCATGTCATTAGGCGTGAATAATCTCAGACTGGTTTCTTGAACATGACAATGAGTTCACTGTACTCAAACGGCCTCCACAGTCACCATATCTCAATCCGATAGAGCACCTATGGGATGTGGTGGAATGGGAGATTCACATCATGGATGTATAGGAGGTCCGCCGGGTACTAGTAAGGCGTACCTAATAAAGTGGCCGGTTAGTGTATATGAAGAGTTCATTTGCAAAAACAGATAATCATTGATTTCATGCTCTTCACTCAGTCACTTTCCTTCAGCTAGTCCCTGATTTATCAGGAGTTGCCACAGCGGAATGAACTGGCAATTGCTCAGACATACGATTTTTTTGGCATAAACCCCTCCAGCACTGAGAGAACACTAACTTGTGAAGCCCCAGTGCTGGGAAACACTCATACACTTTCTCATTCACAATTCATACACTACAGTCATTTTGTTCCGTTTATCCAATTCACCTAAAGGCCTGCTGTTTGTCTTTTGCACTGTGAGGGGGGAAACTAGATCAGACCTGCGCAATACAGAGAGAATATGCAAAGCTTGAAGGTCGCTGGTTCAAGCCCCGGCTCAAGCTGCGGTTTTCCCCACAGTCCAAAGACTTGCACTATAGGTGAACTGAATAATCTAAATTGGCCGTGTGTGAAAGATGTTGTGTGTGTTTCCCAATGTTGGGCTGAAAGTGCATCCACTGCGAAATTGCTTCATGTGACTGCGTGAGACCAATAGAAAACCAAAACAGGACTTCTCTGAACAGGAATTTTAAATCTTAATTCATGTTAATGTTAATTCATTTTCTTTTCAGCTTAGTCCCTTTATTAATCTGAGGTCGCCACAGCGGAATTAACCGCCAACTTATCCAGCATATGTTTTACACAGCGGATGCCCTTCCAGCTTCAACCCATAACTGTGAAACATCCACACACACTACAGAAAATTTAGCCTACCCAATTCACCTTTAGCACATGTCTTTGGACTTGTGGGGGAAACCAAAGCAAACTCCACACAGAGACATCAACTGACCCAGCTGAGGCTCAAACCAGCAACCTACTTGCTGTGAAGTGATTGTGCTACCCACTGCGCCAGGCAGGCACTTTTTTGAAATCTTTAAAATATAACATTATAAAAGCAAAAAATAACCTGTATGATTGTTTGTTTTCTTCGTTATCCACCGCGGTAGGTTCTTTATCCATAATCCTGTTTGAAATGACCACGCCAAAAAAAAGAACCTGTACTGCGCATGATCAGTGACCTCGCAGTATTGTTTCTTTTTTAAGGGGGCGTTTCCCAAACACAGACCAAGCCACGCCCATTTTACGTCGTGGTAATGAAACCCCTGGAATTTAGTGCATGCCCACTGGGCCACCGTACAGCCATTGTTTTCGTTTAATCAATACTTAAAAGAACATTAAATGAAAAATATGTAAAAGAGGAAGCAGAATCAAATTAAGGTACAGAAGTAAAATCACAGACAAGAGCTCAATTTAGTATCGGTGATGCAAAATAACTGTCCGCATGAATAAAGGTGGACCAAAATCTGAAATTAAAACTCACACTGGGGAGACAGTGACCTCTGGCGGGGATATAAGAAGTTACGTTATTAAACAACTTTTTTTTTTCGTTTTTTCTTTTTTTTTTTTTTACAGATATTGTGTTTCTCTTCAGATGAGTACATCTCTGACTTGATTGGAGAAAACTTTAATATCCGACTGTAAATTCATCGTCATCATACTGTGACTTTATGAGACAGCTTAAAGGGATAAGTAGTTCCAAACCTTTACGAGATTCGTTTTTTCTGTTGAACAAAAAAGAAGGTATTTTGAAGAAAGCTGAAAACCTGTATCCATCGACGTCCATAGTTGGAAAAACAAATACTATGCCTTAGGAATCCATTTTAAAATTAACTTTTGATATATTTACAGTAGGACATATATTGTAAAAATGCCTTTATGATGATCTTTATGTAATATCCCAATAATTTTGGCATAATAGAAATATTTATATTTTTATCTGTTGCCAAAAATATACCAGTGCAGCATAAGAGGGTCACATTATAAACACGAGTAGATTAATTTATCAATTGACTTACATTGTTTTTACTGGTAATTTACTCTAGCAATGTTTTTGTTCGTTACAAGTTGAAATCAGTAATGTAATAAAACAACTGGCATTAAAAAAACTACAAGGCAGTTTTACTATAGTGGGCTATACAAGTCATGGCAAGCTGATTTAACATTTGAGTTGTATCATGTATTAGTTTCTAAAGGGTGTGTGAAAAGTACTACATGATATTTAATCAACCCAGGCTCATTCTGTAAACGTAGCCTCCATATACAGTTCTGGAGAGCAACAAATACGTTTATTTTATTTTATTTGCAGTTTTTGTTTTCGCAAATCCACCAGAAGCCGATGTGTATGCTTATTCGGATCTCCGATTTCTTTCACGAGTGCCATTCACACCTGCTGTTCACGTGTAAATCCACCAGAGGCTGCTGTTGACTGACAGACTGACCGATTGACTGACTCACCCTCCTTCTTCCCTAAAACCAACCAACAGTGTTTTGAAAAGCAATCCATAAAAAAGAAAAGTCCTCGCAGCCACCTGATTTTTACCACATTTTCTGATTTTACCACATTCTAACCCTGTTATGTACTTGTTTATTTATTTATTCATTTCTTACTTTATTCATTTGCCTTTTGTTTTTGTCTTACCTGCAGTCTCAGAAATGAAGAAACAAAATTTGTCACTGGTGAGGTACCTTTTCCAAAAGGTAATTTTTTTTCCTAAAAGATCCTTGAAGGTACATATTAATACCTAAAAAGTACAACTGTGTGCCTCATAGCATAATAAAAGTACAATTGTGTACCCTAAAGGTACTATTGTTTACCTATACAGTACAATTTTAAAAGGTACAACCCCAGTGACAGATTTTGTACCTTTATGTGCTCTCTGGAATTGTTCTTCGCTGGAGCCAAACTCCATTGTCGCGGTCAACTCCGCTCTGCATTTCAAGTCCACTGACGTACACCACTGGACAAACTAGTAACAGTGGGAAAGCCATCCATATGGAGGTACTCAGTCAGCTGCTAGCATGAAAAGGAATGGCATCATACCGCCCAGTAGCGTTCATTTTAAAGGCAAACCTTTTGCTACATAATTCACAATCATTAGAAATGTATAGGGCTACATTTTCAGCCTGTTCTATTTATTGGCTGTAGAACTTGTTGTATCATTGCAGACATAAGATGAGTCGCTAAATACAGTAGATTATAGTAAATAGGATTTCATTTTGTCCCTCCCGCATAAATAGTACAGCCATTGGCCATAAAAAAAGCAGTCAGTATTAGAAACATGGACTTGTTTCAAATGCCTGTTACTTTTCATCCACTAGTAATTATACTAGCAATTAGTAGCTACTTTTACATTTTTCAATGCTAGTCTTGCTGGTTTCAATGCTGGTTTAGCCCATTTCAATGCTGGTTTAGCTGATTTCAATGCTGATTATGCTAATTTCAATGCTGGTTTAGCTCATTTTAATGCTGGTTTAGCCAATTTTAATGCTGGTTTAGCTCATTTCAATGCTGGTTTAGCTGATTTTAATGCTGGTTTAGCTGATTTCAATGCTGGTTAAGCTCATTTCAATGCTGGTTTAGCTAATTTAAATGCTGGTTTAGCTAATTTCAATGCTGGTTTAGCTAATTTTAATGCTGGTTAAGCTAATTTCAATGCTGGTTTAGCTCATTTTAATGCTGGTTTAGCTCATTTCAATGCTGGTTTAGCTGATTTCAATGCTGGTTTAGCTAATTTTTAATGCTGGTTAAGCTAATTTCAATGCTGGTTTAGCTAATTTTAATGCTGGTTAAGCTAATTTCAATGCTGGTTTAGCTAATTTTAATGCTGGTTAAGCTAATTTCAATGCTGGTTTAGCTAATTTTAATGCTGGTTAAGCTAATTTCAATGCTGGTTTAGCTAATTTTAATGCTGGTTAAGCTAATTTCAATGCTGGTTTATCTAATTTCAATGCTGGATTTGCTTGTCTCAGTGCTAGTCCTGACCAGCAAGACCAGCATCAAAACACACTACCAGCATGTGCAGTTTTTTTTTTTCCAACAGGGTTATGTATTAGATACTCATTTGCTATATATTACCCTACCTACAGTACTAAACAGGGATTAACATTAATTACTTAGATCTTAGAAGCCGTTAAGATACAAGCACATATTTCAGTGCCCTGGTGGTCCTCCAGGAACGTGGTTGAGAAACAGAATTGCTCTGTAGCTTCAAAATGTATGTAAAAAAATTTCAACGCTAGCCAAGACAATAGTGGTCAACATACCATATAGCTCCACTCATTTGACCCCACTCTCCCCTAAAGCTTTTATAGAATCGACTACATGTTTAAATGGCTTGCCATAGAGAGTAACTGTTGCACGCTGACTGACTCAAATGTTGATGGAGAGTTCAGATCTTCTGCTTCACTTCATTCACGGCAGGAGAGGAGAGATGCGAGGAAAAACCTCGAGTTTCTTCACCCAGCAGCAGTTGTTCGCCTATTTCTCCTTCAGCCTGGAAAATAAATCAGCAGAAACACACTCGGAATCATGCGCGGTAATGAGTGTGAAGGGGAGCTGAATGGCTGAATAACCTGAATCGCGGATGAAGATGAACTTTGGCTCAGCTGTGGTCGCCGCGGGTCTCTGCGGGCTGATGAGTTTCATCCTGCTCGCCGTGTCCATCGCCACTGAATACTGGTACATTATAGATGTGGATGAAGGCAAGAACTCCAGCCTGGAGTATAGCAGCTCTCACTCCGGGCTCTGGAGGATTTACGAAGGTAAGAGAAACACAAACACCTGCAGTTTGATGTGCGGTTTTACCGAGCACCTGTTGGTCACGTAAACATAACATTTATTCAATTTGTCGCTATAACTAGCTATATTGCGTTTGAAAATGTATCACAACGAAAAAGGTTTCAAAATAATAAAAAGTACAGCATTCATGTAAATAAAGACTACACCGTTATGGATCACGTAAACATCTTTATTTCGTAAATTTATCGCTATAAATCATACATTACGTTTATGTAAAATGTGTCACAAAAGTTACATATATATACATATACATATATATATACATATACATATATACACACACACATATATATATATATATATATATATATATATATATATATATATATATATGTGTGTGTGTGTGTGTGTGTTTTCCCAGTGTGAAAATAAAGACTATGGTGTGATTATTTACAGACGACACCCAATACAATGCTATTCCCTGTTTCCATGTAAAGCTGTATGCCTGGGCTATTTGAAAATCTGTAAGAAGGTTAAAAGAAAATATTGAGAAAATCTCTTAATATTGAGAAAAGCCCTCAAAAGTTGTTCATATTAAGCGCAATGCAAATTAGTAAACAAACATGAAGTTTTGATTCTGTGGGGAATTTACTAAACATCTTCATGGAACATGATCATAATGTTTTTGGCATAAAATAAAAATTATCAGTAAATATCAATTATCATTATCAATCACTCTGATGGCTTGAGTATACATGTGCAACATAAGACAGTTTTGGATCACATATAAACATAAAATTTTATATAGTGTTGCGGGGGAGTTTACAAAATAATATATAAAAGACTATATATGAATAATATAATATAATATATATAATATACACCGTTATCAATTTCAAAATGCTTTTGTGATGCAAAATTAATTTAAACATTCAGTTATTCTTTACACCGATTAATAAACCGGCTAAAATAATACCACTATAGCTACAATAAAGAACATCCACTCTAACTTTAAAACTAAAGAAATTGCTAAATACTCTTGAGACATAAAAGTGTAAAGCCTGCAACCCACAACAATGGTGGAAAGGTATCATGTATAATATTTAATAAGTGAAGTTTATTTATAAACAAATTTCGAGAGGATCACGTGCTTATGATTGTTCACAGCTGTTTCAACTTTAGCTAGCGACTGATTATCCTATCAGACGATCCTTAACTCACTATAAATAACCAGACTTTCTCATCTCAATATCTTCATCTTGAAGAAACCCCCCCACTCAACCCTACTGTCCCTCCTTTCAAACGGGCGTCACGGTGGCCAGCGATTAGCGCTGTTGCCTCACAGCAAGAATGCCCCTGGTTTAATTCCTTTCCAAACCAGACGGCATTTCTGTGCGGAGTTTGCTCGTTCTCCCCGTGGTCGCGTGGGTTGTCCTCCGGGCTTCCTCCCACAGTTCAAAAACAAGCACCCTAAACAATTAATCCAAAATACTTTAGCTAAACTCTGAGTACACCTTTCAGCATCCACATCTGACACTTAGCTTCAACAAGCAAGAGGGGGAGTCATCGAGATCTACCTGAGCTCAAACTCCCTTCTCGCCTTTCAACGGGAGGGAGCCCAGGGCTCGAGGATCTTATAAGCTCAGGGCTCTCTCCCAGGAAAGCACGCCAAACTAGCTTTATTATCAATCATCAGCTAAGTGTGAACTCTTGAAACTGTTTACAACAAATTTGATGTAATTTTCCTCACACGGATAATTGATCATTAATCAGTGCATTGCTGATCATGATTTTGAGGATCGATAGAAGATTAAAAAATCCAGGATCTGCCAAATCATCTTAGATCATTTAAGCGAGGCACGAAGAACGGACCCCAACCCTCAAGGATCATGGTGATACTCATCATGGCAGGTATCATTTGGTAGTTTGATTATTTATTTAACAAATTTGGCAACCGTCAAACGTCATCAGGGAAACGGTTTGATTTTCCGCTTTCATTAGCGTTCCATTTGGAATGACAATACATTCACATGCTCTCAAGTGTGTAAGTGCGTAAGTACATAGTGGATAAAAGCATAGTGTATAGTGTGCCATTTAGGATGTAGTTTATATGATACGACAAAAAATTACTGCAGTTTCTATCTGACGTGTGATATGACTTGCGTTGCATGGGTATTTTAGCCAAAAATGTACTGTATGTAAACACCATTTATGAAAACATTTTGTAAATACATGACTCAATTTTTGATTTTACAGCATAATTTTAACAACTTTAAAGATGTTACATTACAATATTTCGATTGTTTTGAACTCTTTAGATTCCAGATATTCAAATAGTTGTGTCTCGACCAAATATTGTCCTCAATACAAACCCTACATCAGTGAAATCTTATTTATTCAGCTTTTAGATTGTTAAAATCTCCATTTCCAAAACTAACTCTTATGGTTATATGACTTGACCACATTTCCTACAGCTGAACTGTTCATTCCATATGCCTCAACTTAATAAAGTATTTCATATTTACTGAGCAGCTCATAAATCACTGGAGATGGTGAGAATGTTTGCAGAGATTTTTTTTCTTCACAAATACAGTCTTCATTAAAGTCTTCTCAGTTCTGTTTCACAGCACTAGTGATGAATAAAGAGAAAAGCAGATCATCACAGAGCTGTAAATGTTTATTGTTAGACACACAATGATGACCACTTCTGAATCTGTCAGATAAAAGCATTGTTTCCCGTTTCATTCTGATTGCAGATGATTTCTAAATGAGCAGAAGCCTGTAAATGCTCTTATGTTTTATGAGTTGAATGCTGTAGTGTGCAGTAATGGAGATCTCGGAGAAGGCTGTGGGTCAGAGAGTGCGTTTCAGTGTTTCGCTCTCGCCCCCACAGGACCCAATGGCAGTTATCATGACATCTCCTTCTACACGGACACATCGCAGCACACCGAACAGGAGAAACACCTTTTGGGTGAGTGTCTGAAAAACACATTATCAGAGAAACACTGGCTTGTTATGTATGGTTAGTGTTTCCTCCGTCTCTTTATCATTACTGACCCCCTTTATTACGATAAATACAGTCCCCCTTATTAAAGCTGATGGTCAGTGATTGTTAGCCACAGTGGCGCTGTGCAGTATTGACACAGTTAAATCTCAATATGCTCTGCCATTTTGTCAATAATGTCAGTGAGTTGATGTTTTTTCGGATTCGTTTTTTTGTGCTTGTATATTAGGGGAGTGTTTCTCAACCACGTTCCTGGAAGACCACCAGCTCTGCACATTTTCCATTTTCCTTAACCAAACACACTATCCACAATTCCTCCCGAGTTTCATGTAATTTGGGGTGTGTCATTTATAATTTGTCGACTTTAACTGCAGTTTGGCACTTTCGCTTTCATTCAGGAGCATTTCATGCATGCCCCCCATGAAAAACGAGATATTGGATGCAAGTGTAAACTGCTAGAATAGATTTGTTTTGATGAAATTTGATGCTGCACGCAGTATGGAAAAAAAAACATCTGCATTTTGCGACAGGGACGGACTGGCCATCTGGCAGACCAGGCCGTTTCCTGCTGGGCTGACGCACTTTTTGGGCCGGGCTGATCATCGTCATAGATCTGGTCGGCCCATAAAAGTCTTAGAAGCCTATTGTTTTTGTTTTTCTGCCTTATTAATTGACCATGCTGTGATCTGTGACTCTCTGAAAGTAAGATCCTTTTGTGACACTCTGCAGCCCATTGGTTTTTTTCTTTATTGACAATGGGCTGGCCCAATCACAAACTCTTAGTATTTTGGGCTCTGTGTGAGAGTGCATCGTCTGTGTATATTTGTCAAAAAAGTGGAGAGTCAGAGAGAAGAAACGGAAAGGAGGCGCAAAGAAATCGCGGGAAACACACCAGCGTTTTATTTAGCGGTTCAGAAAAGTTCTCTGTTCATTCTAGCACATGGCTAAAAACGCAAATCACGTGACCACACACACTCTGCCTAGAGCTGCAGCCAGTAGTTGAGCATAAACCCAAGTTGAGAGTATAGTGCACGTCAGACAGTTCATCAACTATCTGTTGAATCTCATCTCACAGTTGTTAAACGTGATATTGAATTCATCTTGTTTCTATCTAACACCTCTTCTGTCTTTTTGAATCACTTGTTCTCAGGTAACTTTGTTTAGGCTGAGTGCAAAGATAAGCTAATATATTAATTTATGTAAGGCGAAGGGAAATAAATGAATGATAGTGTATTTTTTTAGAACTTAACAAAAATCTTTATGGACAGTATAATTGAGATTAATGTCTGTATTTATTTTATTATTTAATATACATGGCTTTTGTGTTTTATAAAAAAGGAGTTGATAAACATATTGGACATGCACGGCTAGATAGCATTTTGATTGAATGTAGTGGGCCGCTCAGGCCCAAAATGCCAGGGCTGATTTTTTGCCCCAGTCCAGCCCTGTTTTGCAGACGTTACTTGTAATTCATTACCACCAACACTGCTCCTAATTGTAATAATATCTTTGTTGAGAACTATTTCGATATTACCATAGATGATACACATCATACTGTATTGAGCTGATGGTTTGTGTGTGTGTCAGACCTGCACAGGGTGATCGTGGTGCTGCTGCCGCTCAGCCTGGTGCTGCTGGTGTTTGGAGGGATCTTTGCTCTGGTGGCGTCTTTGACTCAGAGCTGCTCTCTCCTCATTTGCATCTCTGTGTACTTCCTCATCTGCAGTGAGTGCCATTCACACACACATACACATGCATTTGTTTATTTTTTTGTGATTTTTCGGGACATTTCATAAGTGTAATGGTTTTTGTACTGTACAAACTGTATTTTGCATCTAACGCTACTCTTACAGGAAAAGTGCGTGCGCTTTTAGTTTCTAAAAATGCATATTCTGAATGATCTATGAGCATTTTGAAAAGTGGGGACATGGGCAATGTGTTTATAAGTCACATTCTTTTTGTAATATCTGTGGCATACCCACACCATTCAGAACACACACACTCACATATTGTGTTGAGGAGCCTGAATGCATTCATGGTATTCAATCTAATTCCTGTTTGAGTTTAGGAGGAACAATATGAATAAAACATAAAAGTAATGCATATTGTAATATGCACCAGGTTTCAATGGTTTATTTTTATATCTATAATCAGCGGACTGTACAAACAAGCTTGCATAGACTTTTACCCATTATAATTACCCATTATGCTTTGCATATAACCGTATGTTCACACCGAAAGCCGCGAGAGCGTCAAATTACCCAGAAGTCATTCATTTTCAATGAGAGGCGGCAGCGATAAGCGGCAAGGAGCAGCGCGGCGCCTCTTTGCCAGTGTGGGCGTCGAGGAGAGTTGAAATCAAGTCAACTTTATGGTAATGAGCTATGACGTAGTTTGGCGGCAAGCAATCAGAATGAAGAAGTCCAACGCTTGAGAGGAGTTCAAAGAACACAGACCTGTGAACTTTGGTTCCGACCACAGTTGTTCCCAAGGGTTTGATTATTACAGTCGCCGGATTTTCTTTTATTTACGATGTTTTCTTACAGGAACATGCATTAAATGATGAGTTACTGGCGAGTTACTGATGTGCATTAATGTTATTCATATATATGTGTATATATATATATATATATATATATATATATATATATATATATATATATATATATATATATATATATATATATATATATATACATACACATATATATATATATATATATATATACATATATATATGTATGTGTGTGTATATATGTATGTGCATATATATATGTATATGTATATATATATGTATATATATATATATATATATATATATATATATATATATATATATATATATATATATATATATATATATATATATATATATATATATATATATATATATATATATATATATATATATATATATATATATATATATATATATATATATATATATATATATATATATATATATATATATATATATATATATATATATATATATATATATATATATATATATATATATATATATATATATATATATATATATATATATATATATATATATATATATTTATTTTTATTTTTATTTTTTTATTTTATTTTTTTTAAAGATCGTTATTATGGAATTATTTATATGTACATTATATATTTTTTTGAAATAAAGACAATTTATTTCAGGAAAAAGGTCTTTATAATCCCTTATAAAGAGAATATGATATTAATATTTCAGTTATGACATGTATTTTTTTAAATGTATTACATATGTGTATTATGGCTGCACGATACTGGAAAAAACGTTTCACTTTCGCTGTGATTTATATTGCGATATTTCACAAGATAACTTTTATTTAACTTAGTTTAATAAACTTAATAATTTTAGATTGATTTTGATGATTTTGTAGGGGAGTGCATTTGCATAAGTGACAATAAACAATCTTTAAGCAGAGATTAAATAGAGCAAATATACAGATGAAGGAGAAATTATTCAACTATACAAGTACATAAATAAAATAGTTAAATGTACAATAAAGCTGTATATTCTTCCTTGTTCAAATAATTAAGTGCAATTATTCGTTGTTAAAGCTGCAAACATGATAGTTCATCTGTTTTAAAAATGCTTTGAACTCACTCGAAATGTTTACAGAGGCCTTAATCACAATTGATAGACCTTCACTTTATAGTTCATGTTAAACTGAACAGACTCCAAAATGATCATGTCTTGTAAAGGGTTGTACCTGGTCAACTACAATCCTGACTCCACATTGCACGTCCTGTGATGTGACTTCACACATTGCGATTTCGATGCTAAAACAATTTATTGTGCAGCCCTAATACACTGTAAAACCCAAAATGTTAAGGTAACTCAAATCATTTGAGGAAACATTGCAACAAACCATTTAAGTTCAAAAACTAATCCTAATCAGTATTGTGAACTCCATTTGGTAAACAAAGCAATTAGAGCACAGTAAAACCCAATAAATGAAGAGAACTCAAACCCTTTGAGGAAACCGATTGCTACAAACCATTTGAGCTAAATTAATCTAAGTACTGTGAACTTACTCCATTTAAGTTGAAGTAATAATGTATTTAATTATCTCATAACCTTCAACACTCGTCAAAACTCTTTTCAAATTAGTAGAATTAATTTTTTTAGTCAATTTTGAGTGAACTACACTCATTTAATTTGATATATATATATATAGTATTTATTTAGACATACTACATACAAACTATTTAGTTATATAATTTACTTTGCTATATATTTTATTCATTTTGATGTTTTTTTTTTTATCTTTTATTTGTCTTTTAATAAATGGTTAACAAAAAAAGATTAAGAAAAAACAAACATGGCCACAACAGATCGGTTTGGTGGCAAATATGCAGGTACTCACCAACTGTAGTGATAGGTTTGCAGTAAGGCACCAGACCCCAGGACTCTGGGAAAAACAGTCCACAGCCATGAAACAAACAAGGGGCAAAGCCTAAAAACTTCTGAAGTTTCCTCTGAATTGTACGCCACCAAGACCCTTCTTCAAAAATCAGCTGTTTGTAAACCTCATTCTCCCCAAAGGAGTAAACTGGCACCAGATCCGCACTGAGAGGGAAACAAGACATTCAGAAGTTAATAAAACAACAAGCATTTGAATAAAAACAGTCACCACCACACTTCCCCAGTTAAATTAAGCCATTTTTGTTTAATACGTTTTCAAAAAAAGTTGTTTAAATATGCAAATGAGGTCTTATTTCTTTAAATAAGTGAACATTTGCGTACACTTCTAGCACAAAAATCTAAATATTGCATGAAGACCGATTCAAAATTATTTTATT